ACTAATACTATTACGTCGAAAGCGATATTCCATAGTTAACGAATCTGAGATACCACGAATGACACAAAAAGGTACGGGTTGCAGCTGCGCGGACGACTGAAAAGGCGATAGCTCAGTTCATTTAGTTCGTATCGTATCAGAGGGCAAACTTGATTAAACCACAATTTCTTCAGCGGACACATACAAACAGTGACATCCTCAAATCACGATACTATTCCTGAAGATCATGCGCTGCCTCACCTGCTGACAAGCTTGCGAGTATAACAGCTACACCTAACAAGGTCGGCAATACGTCATTAAAGGAGTGCTGCGGTGTCTTTTATCCTCTACACCAATGTGACTTTCTCTTGCCAAACTGCAATACTCCTTTAGACGTCTCTGTACCTCATTTGGTAAACTTTAACTGGATTTGGCAGCTTAAAATAAAATTGCACCAACTTGGAAAGGAAGCTGATCTATAGATGGAGCGTGCGCTTATCTATAGTGTCAAGTGAAGGAACCGTCATAAAAAAATAGCAATGCTAGCTCAAATTCATCGAACGTCATTAAACACGTGTCCCTCGGGAAAAAAGTACTGGCAATGCGCCACTCTAGGCGACATGGCCTTCTTCTCCGCCACAGACGAAAAATCGCTCATCGAAACGGCAGCGAGAAAGCGGTAGCGTCTGAAGACGGAGATTACGGCATGCACTTCATACAGGTCACTTGATACAAGCCGCATCTCCCCACTCTTTATCCTTTGCCAGAACGGTAAAAAGTGCTGAAACTCTATTTAGGGTAGTCGAGATGTATGACTGGTTTCAAGGAACTGCCAGGAAACGGAAACCGCAGGAACACGCGGGAACACTTAAAATACGAAAGAGATTCGACAAAAAAATCACTATGCAACGAATGTCGGAAGCTTAACCGTGGATCACAAGTAAATCACCGACTGAAACACAAACTAAAAATATATAGCGGTTGGTGTGAGTCCTCCGCCGTTGCCAGTCCCAAGCACGGATCAAAAACGAACAGGGCTGGAAACTGCGGTGAGGTCTCCGTAACATTAAACCACCTCCTCTTCATGGTATTTCTATCATCGAAAATTATACCTGCTCGTTTGTCGCCAGGGTTACCAAAGGCCATACAGGCTGTTGGAGGACTGAGGAAGGCTGCGAAAAGTCGGCGATCAGAACCTGCTTTCCGCATTATAGCACAATGACAACGGCTACCAAAGATCGACAAACGAACGACGCAGATACCAATCAGCAACGAACCCGATATCCGCCCTCAGCGGAGGAAGCAGACAGCGCGACACCACTATAGCTCTCAGAAAATGCTCCACGAGAACTGTACCTACAATGTAAGCT